ATCCTCACTTCTGAGGACACTTCCGAGAGGACTCTATAATTCCCAAGGTTTCCTCTTTTCTTTCTAAGCCCTTGCCTCAACTCTTCTATTCTCCCACATCAGGTTTAGTGCTCTATTCCCGAAAGCCTGTTACTCCCACTTGAATTTCTCGCTGCCACATCAAAACGAAACATGTTTCCTCAAAACTGGTTGCCCTCCACATGCCACTGTGTGTCAATGTTACCACACTGCACCCAGACATTTGGATAAGCATGTCGCTCCTACATATGACTCATCCCTCTGTGTTTCTTTCCTAACTCCAAGTTCCTTTTGATTTCTTTTCCCTGGTGCGGACTTACTGCTACCTGCCCTTCTAGGTTAGAATCTCGTTCTCTAACAACTACATCGTTTCCTCTTATCCAAGATTTCACTTTCTACAGCTTCAGTTACCCAAGGGCAACTTTGGTCCCAAAATATTAAAAGGAAAATTCCAGAAGTAAGCAAATTAAGCATAAGTTTTACATTGCATGCCATTCTGAGTATTGTGATGAAATCTCTGGAGTCCTACTCCATCCCACCCAGGATGTGACCCATCCCTTTGTCCAGTGTCTCCACACTGTATTTGCTCCCCACTCATTAGGTAGTAGCCCTCTGGGTTATCAGATCAAATCTAGGTATCACAGTGCTGTTGTTCAAGTCACCCTTACTTAACTTAATAATGATCCCAAAGGGCAAGAGTAGAGATGCTGACAATTTTGATATGTCAAAGAGTAGCCATAAAGTACTTTCTTTAAGTGAAAGTTTAAAGCTCTTAATTAGGAAAAGAAAAGAAGTCATATGCAGAGGTTGCTAAGATCCACAGTAAGTGCAAATCTTATATCTGTGACATTGTAAGAAGGAAAAATAGATTTGTCATAGTTTTGCTGTTGTACCTCAAACTGCAAGAGTTACAGCTATGGTGTGTGGTAAGTGCTTAGTTAAAATTAAAAAAAAAAACAACACTAAATTTATGAGTGGAAGACGTGAACAGAAAAAGTGTTTCAACTGAGGGCAACACGTTACACCAGAAAGCATTGAGTCTATACAAAGACTTCAGCAAGGGATCCCCTAAAACCAGGGACCACATCTGTATAACTTTTATTGTGGTATATTATTGCAATTATTCTATTTTATTATTAATTATTGCTGTTAATCTCTTTCTGAGACCAATTTATAAGTTAAAATTTACCATAGGGATGTATGTGTAGGAAAAAACCCAGTATATGTAGGTTCTGTGCTATCCCATTTCAGGCATCCACGGGGGGTCTTGGACTGCATCCCCTGCGATCAGGAGGGACTGCTCTGCCTCCTCGGACACAGTCCTGCTGCAGGTGCTCTCCTTCCAGTTCCTCTTTCACAGCACCAACAAGCTAATAATATTCTTTCAACAAGCCTTTTTCCCTTTCCAGAGCTTTCCTGTTCCCACTTATGTTAAGTGCAGATACATTTGCCTGCCTTTCAGATATTTCCGTAGTTTGCCTTTAAAGCATGCAGTTCTCCCACCATATGTCCCAGCTGGACTGCGCTTGGTTGGGTTAGTCCTCTTACTGCGATCCTGGGAACACACCTTGTATTCACCATGCTCGCCCTGTAGCCCTCCCTGCTTCTAATTCACCATCGCATTTACACGCAGCACTTACATTGCTTTGTGCCTGTTTACACTGTGTGTTGTGCATCAACTTTGTTCTTCATGTCCATAAAGACAACTGCTCTTTGAACATTCCTAAATTATATTCAAACCTAATATAGCATCTGGAACAGTAAATTTATAAAATTAAATAAAATAAAACCACAGACTATTACCCCTGAAAGAGACCAAAGAGAAAATGTGCTTCTCAATATTCTTGTTTTACAAATGAGAAATCTGAACATGTGAGATGGGATATTTTAAAATTTAATAGCTATCTATTTAGATTTATAGTTATCTTTTACTCATGGCACAAGGTATTCAGTTGCTATTTACATTATTGATATAAAGTTTTATTTTAGAATAGATTTGCTTTTGATTAGAGAAATTGTAAATAAAGAATAGTACTGGAGGTAAGAAAACATGGCAAAAGTTCTGAAGGTAAGAATCAAGATACAGAAGGGTTGAAAATAGGGCAATGCATTTTTTTAGACTGTGTGCTTAATAAACGATTGTTGACTGACTGGTTGATAGCACACATCTGTTCCCCCTAGCAAACAGCCTTCACCTATTTACTAAATGAGCAGACAAGCAATTTTCATGGCTTCATTTTCAGCATAAGGTAAAGGGACAAGAAGAGTAAAGAGTCAACTGGGAAAACCGTTCCTTGCACCTATGAGGCTGTCTTTAGCTGAGCTTGCTGGAGGTGGTGGCGTGACTGCAAAGCCAGCACCCTAGTCTACAGGCAGGGAGTGTGGACACCTCTTAGCCACCTGCTCCCTTTGCTCTTCCTAGGACTCTCTCTCCCACACATAGTTTAACTGGGCAAGTGCAACACTTTAAACACAGCATGAGCCAAAAAAAAAAAAAAAGTTGAAATTCCATTATGCACCAGAGCATTTGTAAAAGAGGGAGAAGACTTTACGTTTCGCATGCTGATTCATTGTTCATTCTTCTTCTCTTATTTTGGAAATTTCAAGAGCCACACTCAGCAGCCCAACTTTCAGTGGTTTCCACCAGCAATTTAGGTCTTCCTGACCAGGCTCACTGATTATAGGCCTCAAAGTAAATTCTCTGCGGGGGAACAGAAATAGACTGTGGCTGGAGATCTGTTCATGGGGAGGCAGGAGGGGATGGCCTAAAAAGCCAAAATCTCAAGTGCAAAGCCCTCTGGATATTGGGAGAAATGAAACACGGATCCACTGTGAAATGTGACCCTGATATAAGCTAGCTAGAATTAGGTCAGATTTGACAAGCTAAGGGCACAGTCCCTGCAAGACTGCTCTGCAGACACCATCTACAAAAATCTGGGGTCTCCAGATCACCCACACTTCTGACTAACTGGCTACAAATTCAGGGTTTCCCACAAGCCCCTCAGGCTTGATAATTTGTTAGCATTAATGTAGGAAATGTCCAAACCTACAGAGAATTTGTATAGAAGCTTATTTGAGACAAACTGAAGACATGCCAGTAGCTAGATCTCAAATGCTCCGGGAATAACAGTTTTGCAGCTTCTTTTATGCATTCAGAATTAAAAAAAACCTAAGAATGATTATATGGGAAAAAGCAAGGTGAGGGGATTATATTACAGGATATTTAAAAAGAATATGTGCTTTCTGAGGGCTTTTCGGCTTATGTCAAAAGTGTGTTAGCCTAGGTGCACAGAAACAATGAACAGGCCTTGCTTAAGGCAAAGAAACTTTTTACTAACAAGTTATATGCCTGGGGTCTGGTTACCCACAATGACCTGCCCAGTTAGAAATTTATGATCATGTCACTCTGTGAGATTCCTTTCTATAGGACTCCCATTTTTTTCATTCACTCTAAAACAGTTCATAGAAATTAAGAAAGCACTATAGTTAAAATTAGAGTTTTACTATGCAGGGTACAAATGAGAACCAGCCAAATAAATGTATGTGATGGGCAAGTCTGGCAGGGTCCCGAGCATGAAGGTTTTGCTTCCTCAGGACTGGTCACCTTCCCTGCACGTCAGTGAGTATCACCACCAGCCAGGAAGCTGACGCCAGTGACGTCATTCTGTAGGCTGGGTTGATTGAATCATAAGGGCTGTAACTGGACCCAATCGCCAATGCTCCTTAACCACAGGGATGTTGGGAGGTCAGGCTGATATCAAGGCTCAAAGCCCAAACCCTCTAATCACAGGCCGGCCTTTGTGTTGTGGCCAGCACCCATTCTACAACTACTTAGGATCCCCAGTAGATCCCCTCATTAGCATAAACTCAGATGTGGTCCTAGGGGTCTGTCATGAAAAAGAACACTTCTATCACTTGCAAAATTCTAAGTGTTTAGCAGTTCCCTCTCAGAACCCAGGAAAAGACCAGACAAATTATTTATAAAACAACACAGAAAAGAGAATGTGAATTGGACTTACGTTAAGTCATGAAAAACTAAGGCAAAAAATTATGATTTTCATGATGAAGAAACCGCTGAAAAACGTCACTTGAATGTAAAATATATGGTTATTAAGCACCATTAGACCCCCTTTTTTGAGAGAGAGAGAGAATGTTCATTAAAGCTGGGGAAAGTGAAACAAGGAAGGGCTCGGGGCAGAGGAAACAAATGGAGAGAACCCAGAGGGGACCGCTTTGGCTCCCTAGAAATGTTATAGGGAAGAAGGGAGCCAAAGCAGAGCTGCTGTCAGCTCGCTGGGGAGTCAGAGAAAAGGGGGTCTTGGAGGCAGGTTCAGGGGGTTAGCCCAGGATGAGATGCTGCTGCCCACTGCTCCTCAGGCTGCAAGTCTCATGGAGACCCTTAGAGTTTAGGAGATGCACCCCTGTTGGGGAAGAAAAGGGGAAAGGCACCAATGTGCTCCCAGGAGGGAGAGTTGGTGCCCACTATTAGATTTTTTAAATGTGTTTTTGTTTTTCACTCACCTGTTCATTCATTCAGCAATATTTATTCAGTATCAACCTCCTACGCTAATCAATGAAGGTATACTATTACATCGTTGCTGTAAAAAAAAAATATTTTTATGTATATTACATTGAAAAGAAGAAGGGTAATCTATTTGAAATTATTTTCTTCTTTTAATTCCAGTCAAAATGAACCTGAGTTCTGAGATAACTGTTCATTTTTGCCTTTCAAGCATGAGGTTAAGAGAGCTCCCCAAACTGAAAATATTCAGCATCCAATCTAGATGTATAAGGATATTTGGGGATGTGAGGGATAACAGAAGAAATGTATGTGTTGTTTGTTTAACCAGAAGGCCACCATTCAGTCTCTTTTTTAAAGAAATCAAGAAGTGCTTTGAAATGTGCTGTTTTAAACTGTTCTTTTTTTGCTTTCCTGTAATTGGAGCAACATACTAATTTCTACAAGTTGTGACTACTAACAGAGAGCAATCACCTCACAGACTTGTACCGAAGAGACGAAACCATCCAGGTGACAGGAAATGGCCATGTGCAGAGTCCACGCTTCCCAAACAGCTACCCCAGGAACCTGCTTCTGACATGGCGGCTCCATTCCCAGGAGAAAACAAGGATACAGCTAGCCTTTGACAATCAGTTTGGATTAGAGGAAGCAGAAAATGATATCTGTAGGTAAGTGGGAGAAAAATCCATTTTAGAGAACTCTTCCAAGGTAAAAAAAAAAAAAAGGTGAATTGAAAAATATCATCTTAAACTTGCCTTCTGGGCCCTTTGGACTTACTCAAAATGCACCACTTCTTTTTCAAAAGGCCTTATGTCAGTCCTAGCCGACAAAATAAACTGGAGCATAGACAGCTGCTGACTCACAGAAATTCACTTTTACACCTGTCAGAGCCAGGGTACCTGACCCCCAGAGAAGGAGGGAATGGGGAGACCTCTGTCTTGGCCAGGCCTAAAATAGCATTTGTGAGCAGGTAGATGCATCCAATAACGCTAGATCACCTGCAGCCAAGTCTTGGGGCTCAGGTCTAAGTCCGCCTTGGGCGTAAAGAGTGTACACCGTACTTGACTCCAGGAATGAATCCAGACTATTGTAACCTATGCATAGCAGTAATAGTTTCTCCTGCCCCAACTCAAAGAGGATGATAGTGAGGACCTTACCCTGAAATCATAGTTTTAAGGCCTCGGATATATATGAAAGGGGGGAGAGAAAGCAACCCCAGGGTCTGTGTGCCCCTCGGATTGTCAGTTTCCTGTGGTTTCCGAGTCATCATTAGAAGATGAAAACCATGTCTCATAATCTCCCTTTTTAGTATATTTATTAGAAAAAAACTCTGGCTGTTGTTTTATGAATCGTCTGTTCACAGCATCTTATTCACTTAATTAGCATGTATAAGACTTGGGGAGGATTTTTTTTCCTTTTCTGTACTTAACTGCACACACTTGTTTTGCATTGTCAATGAACTACTGAACTACTAAATCCTTTCGGCAAGTTTATTTTCCTTTGAATAATAAAAAGAGAGTGCCTCAAATTTGGCTGCCTTTTGTTGCGTGATTATTATGCTGACAGCTTTTATTATCTTGCTATTTTTTTCTAAGAATAATAGTAGTGACTATTACTTCCTAGGACCATAGAAAGAAGTGTATGCCAGGAAACAGATACAAATATATCCAGGGAGAACAAGTCAGTATTTACAAAGAGAATAAACTAGAGCAGATCTTGTGTCTTTTCAACCTTGAAAGAGAGACCTAATTTTCTCTTCTGGGGGAAAAAAAAAAAAAAGATTGTGAGAAAAACACACACTATTAAAAGATTGTTAAAGGTGATGACATGGAATAGGGGTAGCCAGCTCTTCACAACTGAGCAGGGTTTCTGATTCCAGTAGTGAGTGAGCTCTTGGCATCCTTGCCTTAAAATAGAAGAGGAATTTAGGATTTTTTTTTTTTTGACCCTACATCAAATCTACCCACTTCTCAAAATGTATGAAGAGAGGTAGAGGAGTAAGAGGTGGAAAGGGGAGAGGAAGAAGGGAAAGACACAGATCAGTGACTTGCCTCAGACTCTCCCTAAGAAACAAAATGGTGCTCTCTTAACATCAGATACAGAGTAAAAGTTACACCGATGATGTGTTTTTTTAAAAAACAAAAATGACCTATTGAGTTATTAACAAAGTTTCAAGTATACTCTTGCTTTGTGCAGTAAGTATGATTTACACGTATTGTATATAAAATGAAATGCAATTGATTTTCTACCATCTGTTCCAAAGCCTCCTTGATGTTTACACTGTAATATTTTATTGCTTGAGTAATGATTTTTTGTTAGTGTTTTTCACCTTCCAAGCACCATATAAATGTTAAATAATTAGTTTACACAGCACCCAAGAGATAATCAGCTGGTAAAAATTGTATAAACCTTCTTATTCTTCTCATAAGGAAACTGAGGCAAAAGGCACAAGGGCTTCATAAATCACTGTTAACAAAATTTAATACCCTTATTATTATGTTTACCTCCTTAGATTAACCTGCCCAACCCAATAAGAGCTCTGAGGTAGGTACATGGATAGGACCAGCAAAGCCACATTGGATGTTTTTTCATATTTAGGTGTGATGTTTCTCATACCGATTCCTCTTGGCAACTGTGAAAGAAAAATATAAAATGTTTGTGAGACTGCTGCTGTCACCAAAATGGGACCAGGACCAAGTGTGGTCTGCCTTGGCACAGGCTGAAATGTGTGGGTTCTTGACTTTGTCCAGGAAAAATTTCATGATATGAGTCCAGGTGATTTTGAGAGTCCATTTATTAAAGCTGGGGCCAGTGAACCAGAAGAAGGCTTAAGATGGAAGAAACAAGATTATAGCAACAGGAGTGAGCCTAGGGGGAGCTGCCTTGGCCCTTTACAAAGAAAGCCACAGATGCTGTAGAAGCGAGCCAGCTGTGTGGATTCAGGAAACAAGTTACAGAGACAAAAGGCGGGCCCTTGGAGACAGGTTCAGGGGGTTAGCCAGGATAAGCTGCCACTGCCCACTGATCCCCAGGTTGCAAGCTTCTGGGACCCTTTAGAGCTTAGAAGGAAGATACACGCCTGTAGGAAGAAGGAGAAGGAAGGTGCAGACATGTTCCAGAGAGCACACAATATGTCCTTTGTCTTAGGGTTTTTATTTGTTTTATAAATGTAGAAATTTTAGGGGAGATCTCACAGGAGGATCTCAATAGAATACTCACAAGCTTTTCAGGTGCATCTTTTGATATGTTGATGCATGAAAATGAGATTATAGAGGGATCAGGGTCATTCTCTGATAAGTTTCACCTTCAAAGAATGTCACTGGAGAGGGACCAGACCAGCTCGGTCCTGGCATGGTCTGGAATGGGTAAACCATTTGCTCCTAAGTGTCCTTGGTTAGGGAAGATAAAACCTTGCAATGTATTGATATTATCTGGTTGTAAATCGTCCTGCTACTTAATTATCTGTCTCAGTTTCCCCATTCTACTTGCCAAGGAATTTCTGTAGCATTTTACTAACCTACCTCATGGCTACTGTTCACAGTGAACACTTACCATTTGCATTGAGAAGTAATCTGGGGAGAGGTACAGTGGAGGAGAGAGACATTGATGCTCAGAACTAGAAGACGGACAGTTCATCTCATCAAGTACTGTATTCCACAATCTGGGATGTTCTGAAAATAGAATTAATGATCCCTAGAAGATATCAACTCTGTCACTGATGATGTCCTACTATGTGATGGAAAAGTGGGATGGTATGGAGGCACCTCAAGGATCAAATGATTAGGAATATTTAAAGAGATTTTTCCTATCTTCCTCAATCCTGGCATTCTATGTTTCTCTGACCAACGGCAAAGGGGAACCTATAGTCTTAAGCTCATTCACACACTGGTTTAACCAGCCCATATATTTACAGTATTGGTTAGCAAACATCTCTACTCAATTCATATGATTTCCATTATGATAAAAGTCATATTTTATGATATTATCCTTTCAAAGGACAGTTTCCAAAAAGAGGAGTTAGTGATTTCCTTCATGTAATGAAGCGCTGATTCTATAGTGCTGTACAGATACAGATCTCCCTTTTTAGAGAAAGTATGGAATGTGACAAATTAATTCAAAATGGAAATTTGTTTGAAAAACTTTATATAGTAAATATTTGGACATATAATTAGAGCTACATCTCCTCAAATATGATGATAGATTGTAGCTATTAGTTTTTCCAGGAAAACCTTATAAACCAGATGCTCAGAAGGTAGCCTGTTTTAATTATTAATGATTTGGGAACAGTCATGGCTAAATGTGTGTATAGGTTCTTACAGAACAGATTGTGGAGGTTTGAATTTGTAAAGCCTAATCCAAAAACTAGCTTCACTTCAAAAATGTCTATAGCTTAGCCAGCCCCCAGGACCCATGGCAGAGGTTCTGCTGTGGCTGATGCCAGTTTTCCACCAGGTGTTGCTGAGCACGGAGCCAAGGGAGCCCTGGAGTTGTCAAGATGGAGGCGTAGGTAAACGCAGCTCACCCTCTCACACAACCACATCAAAATTACAACTAAACTACAGAACAACCATCACTCAAAAACATCAGAAAGCCAGTTAAATGGTAGTCCAACAACTACAGAAGTAGTCTCTAGCAGACTCACTCCCTCTGAGCTCCAGCACCAGGGCAGTGACTTGAAGGGCACTAGTGAAGCGGGAGGAACTAAAGTGTCTGGTATCAGAGTGAGAGCTGAGGACAGCTTTCTCCCAGACAGAAAGATGGGTGGAGACCATTGTTCCTTTTCTGAGTCCTCCCCCAACAGAGTCACAGAAGTGGCAGTGTGGAGCCATATCTGAGACTCCATAAACCTATCTCAGACAGTTTTCTCTGCCCTGAGGAATACCTGAGGCTCTGCCCCATCCAACTTAGAGCCCACCCAAGCTGTTAACTGTGGCATTTCTATATGAATGGCTGGTCTCAGCACATCCTTCACATCTTCTCAAATCCCTTCAAACAAGCAACAACCAGCCTCAGAGGCCCCCTAGCCACCATACCTCTGGCTAAGTGGCCCCAGGCCCCACCTAAGAGCAGCTAGTTTTAGATCACACTTTAGTTTCACCTGGGAACCTCCAAGCCTAGCACAAGTACCAACCATATGTAGATTGCTTTGTAGCTCATGCTGAGTGGGCCCAGATAGAACATAGGTGGTAGCTGACCCTGACCTGTACCACATGGGAAGCCCCAGACACTGCACACCCAGTGGACAGCTACAGACCACATTGGAACACAACCACTGCACTGCTGATCCTCCACGGAGGGTGGAAGTTGGTGATCAGTGGTCACAGCCAGTCCATGCAGCTGACTGGCCTGGCTAAATCTTTCCCATTGACCTGCCAATGGCAATCAAAGCTCAACTACAAGAGAAGGGTTTACTCAGTCCACAGGGAGGGAGCACCTTGAGTACCCAGCTTTGTGATAGGAGGGGCTGTGTCACTTGACCCTATAGTACACTTACTATATTAGGCCACACTACCAAGACAAAGAGTGATAGCAGTTCTACCTAATACACAGAAACAGATACAGGGAGGCTGTGAATGTGAAGAGATGAAGAAACATAGCCCAAATGTTAGAATAGATGAAAACGCCAAAAAAAAAAAAAAAATTAAAATGGAGATGAACAATATATCAGATGAACAATTCAAAACACTGGTTATAAGGGTGCTCTAGGTACTTAGTGAGTCCCCCAACAGCATAAAAAAAAGACCCAGGCAGAAATACGGGATATAATAATTGAAATAAATAACAATTTACAGGGAATCAACAGGAGAATTGATGAAGCCAAGAATCAAAGCAAGGATATGGAACATAAGGGAACAAAAAACAACAAATTAGAACAAGAAAAAAGAATTCAGAAAAAGAGCAAAGTATAAGAAGACTCTGGGACAACTTCAAGTGTTTCGACATTCATACAATTGGGGTGCCAGAAGGAGAAGAGAAAGAGAAAGAAATTGGAAATCTATTGGAAAAAATAATGGAAGAAAACTTCCCTAATTTGGTGAAGGAAATAGACATACAAGTCCAGGAAGCACAGAGAGTCCCAAGCAAGATGGATGTAAACAGGCCCATGCCAAGACACATCATAATTAAAATGCCAAAGATTAAAGATAAAGACAGAATCCTAAAAGCAGCAAGAGAAAAGAAATTAGTTACCTACAGGAGAGTTCCCATAAGACTGTCAGCTGATTTCTCAAAAGAAACTTTGCAGGCTAGAGGAGATTCACAAGAAATATTCAAAGTGATGGACAACAGGGACCTACACTCAAGATTTCTCTACCCAGCAAAGCTATTGTTTAGAATCAACGGACCGATAAAGAGCTTCCCAGACAAGAAGAAACTGAAGGAGTTCATCATCACTAAATCATTATTATATGAAATGTTAAAAAGACTTATTTAAGAAAAAGAGGAAGATTCAAACTATCAACAATAAAATGGCAATAAACACATACCTATCAACAATTGAATCTAAAAAACAAACTAAGCAAATAAGAATAACAGGGATGGAATCATAGAAATGGAAAGCATTTTGATGGTTGCAAGATAGAAGGGGATTTGGGGGGGAATGGGTGAAGAGGTGAGGGAATTAAGAAATACAAATAGATAGTTACAGAATAACCATGAGGATGTAAAGTACAGTACAGGAAATGGAGTAGCCAAGGAACTTAGACGCTTGACCCATGGACATGAACAAAGGAATGGGGATTGCCTGAGGGAGTGGGGGATGATGGGTAGGAGGGCAAGGGGGAAAATTGGGAACCATAACAGCATACACAATAAAATATAATTTAAAAAATAAAATGATAGCTTATAATTTTTTATTTCATCTAGTAGGTCATAAAAAAATCACATAGAGTAGATTTAATTTGATGAAAGTATGAATTTCAAAGTCGACTTTAATCAAAATTTATTTTTGTTAAATTAATACTAGGTATGATTTTGTGGAAGTTGAAGATATATCTGAAACCAGTACCATTATTAGAGGACGATGGTGTGGACACAAGGAAGTTCCTCCAAGGATAACATCAAGGACAAACCAAATTAAAATAACATTTAAGTCTGATGACTACTTTGTGGCTAAACCTGGATTCAAGATTTATTATTCTTTTGTGGTAAGTAGCTTATCCACATTGTGATTAAAAGAAGACCCTGTTTTCATAAAGTATAGTGACAGTTTGTATGATTATATATAGTGGTATCAGGGTGAATGCACTTTATTAATTCCCTTTGATATACTTTGTTCCTGCCTATGGCCAAAATGTTAAAGCCTATTTTAGTAAGGAATACTATTTTGAATCTATTAAGTGAACTCTGAGGTCCAGAAATTTTGAAGGAAAACATGGTCAATAGAAAAAGTAAAATGGTTTTTAGTAAAGCAAGTACTATATTATCTTTGATTCCACTGAAGCAAGATAAATATATAGCCAAATAGAAGGTAAGTGAGAGTTGAACCTCTTTGATTTGAAAAGTTGCCTGTGTATTTCCAATCACAGAAAAGGGTCCTGTTAATTTTAGTTCAAATTATCGCCCAAATTTAGAATGGTCTATATTATAATCATAAGGCCTCAGAGTTCGCATCTTAAAGATCATAGTGGTTCTGACTGTTAGAAAATACTCAACCTCTTATTGAGCCATAATAGACATTATAGTTACTTCTCCTTGTTGGGGCACACACAAATTGCAGTCTCTTCTTTAGTTAGTCAGTCATTCATAAAACAATATAAAGTTTCTGCTCATTGTCAGACACTCTTACAGTTGTAGTAGATAGGTAAGTAGGACAGACAGGGTTCTTGACCTTCTCCTGGAGCTAATAGTTTGATATAACAACAATTAGAAAGGAATAACAACCAAGAATGATGAGTATCAAGACAGAAGTACTGGGTGCTATAGGTCAAGCCCAGGCAGACATCAGAATAATTTTGCCTTTATACTATCTTAAATATTTCTGAATCCTTTAACTGGGCACAGTGTATTGTCTTCTGTTTTCTCAACAACGTTTTTTTCACCCTTATTCAGATTGTTTCTATCCCTTTTCAAAATGTGGCTGCCAAAAGAGAACACAGTACTATAAATGGTATAAATTTGTGGGGGTTTTCTCTTCTGAGTTAAATTTAGAATAAAAATAAATTTTGCTTTTCGTAAACTAATGGCTTTTTTGTTGTGTGTTATTGGAAGTCATTAAATACTGAATGACTTCTACTCAGAATGTTGTAAAGGAAAGAAATAGCACGTGGTGACACTGGTTCCAGTTTTAATTTGAAAATAATCCATCAAACATGATTTCCATTATTGCAAATTCATACAGTACTGCTCGGCATTAAAACTGAAGTGTGAGCCTTTGGTCCCTATATTTCTTTGCCTTTTAATGTGCTCAGTGATGTGTCTGTTCTCAATTGTTCAAGGTCAAAACCAACTTGGCGTGTTGAAATGGTGATGGACAGGCTTAATGAAGGACCTTCCCCTCACTCTTTTCTTCAAGTGCTATTAGTATAAGTGTATATACCTTTTTGTGAAGCTTTTGTTGTGACTAAGTTGAATGGCCCATAAGTCAGTTAGAAACACCCCAACTCTAATACAATGTCTTTGAGGCAAAATAATTTCTTTTTATAGAAAAGGCAGTACACGGTACAAGTATCACTTTGGGGAAGGAAGCAGGAGCTTGAGGTGTTTTGCATTATGGTGGAAGCTTATCACTCATTTTTCTAGCCAATATTAAGTGCAATGTTGTACAGTTGCTGTGGTTTGAATGTAACCTACTTGACATCTTTCTGCTCACTGGCTCATTCACCTCCACCAGTACATTCAATTGTGATTTTCAGAAATGATAATAGTGACAACTCCTTTTAAAATTTTTTTTCTCTACTGACCACTTGGTCTACATTCATTGAGAATAGCTCCAGACTCTTTCCACTCCTAATAGTCTTCTGGCACTATGTAATCAGTTAGGTTTAAAGTGCTTTGGTTGCTGAATTCCAAAAGTTAGAATGAGCTTAACCTTCAGGTATGTATAGACTCCACATCTATGTGATTTTTTGATAAACCTCTTCCATTTGAATCTTGCTCCACAGGATAGAAGGTCAATTACGGTTTGACCAATGTATTGGGAAGATCATGAACAGCACGAGTATGAACTTCAGCTCTGCTGTGTACTGGCTAAGGGCTCAGTTTTTTCATCTGTAAAATGGTGATAATATTGCCTGAAGTTAAGTAGATGTGAGGATTAAATTAGATAACTTGTAAGACATTCTGCCTGTACAAGTTATTAATTACTCAGTAAAAGCCTATAATGTCTTAGGCTCTTGTTGTCATTGACATTGCTATTATTATTAATAAGTCAGGCAACAAGTGAACCTGCTGGCCATGTACAAAAAAACCCAGTTGTGAGTGTGTATTTGTGCACATGTACAGACACCTCTGATGTGATGCACTTCTTTATCCAAGATAGAAACATTTAATTATACATTGTAACAAATACAAAAAATGGTGTGTTTTTAATAGGAGGTACATTTTCAAAATTCAAAAATAAAAAATTAAGACATTTCAAAGTTATTCAAAAACTTTCTTGCTTTATTAACAAGCTAGTTTATTTTATAGGTTGAAATCAGCTAATAACCATTATAAAATCTTTCTAAAAAAATTTTTACCTGGTCAGTTACTTTAACTGTATATTTCTGCAGTTTGAATTAACTTCAAGTGGTACAGTGAGATTTCCATTGAGATTAAAACTCTATGAGTTTTTGTCATTGAGACAAAAAAAAAACCTACATGAATCATGGTTTTGCATTATAAATAATTATGTAAAATAAAAGAAAATGGGAAAGAAAAATAGATCTAGGACTGAAGAGTTGAATAAGATCCTACCTCAATTATAACAAAGTTTGCAGATTCTAATTGTGTTTCCCTAAAACTTAGCAGTTGGTGAAACAAAATCATCAACACAATCATGGTAGGCAAGTCATCCTCATTCACCGACACTGAATTTTGAAAGACAGAGAGTGAAGGAGGGCCCCATTCACTGTCTCTGTAAAATGTGTGAGAATTCCATCTTTATTTGCAGAGTCAGGTTAAAATAGGTGAATATCAGAGCATCCATTCGTGTTGCAGCCACTTCAGCGAGGACTGTAATAGAGCCAAGGCCAGTCAAGGTGAGGGTGGGGATCCTCACAGCAGAATATGTTTATCACAGTTTCTTCCTTTCAAAAATATCCTACTGGAGATTGGGAGCTATAAGATCTGCAACAATCCTGGAGATCAGTGCCCTCAGGGTCTTGCGTGGTACTGGGAGGAAACAGACACTAAACATGTAAGTAAACAGGGAAGTAAGTACTTATATACAAACAAATTATTGGAACTTCAATAAAAGCCAGAAAGAAGATAAAAGAGAGCAGTGTGGTGGAGAGTGCCTGGGAAGGGGCTCCCTCCAGCTAGGCAGTCAAGGAAGATCTGTGCGTGCAGCCTTTGAGCTGCGACCCGAAGAATTAGAAAGAGGCATGCATGAGAAGCTAGGAGAGAAGGGCGCTTTAAGCAAAAGAACAGCAAATACTAAGACTTTAAAATAGATAAGAGATCTTTTTGCTATGAAAGTAGTGATTTTTTTGAAGACTCAGGACTTAGGCTGCTGGCAGAAAGCAGACAGGAGAAGGAAGTAGAAGAGTACCTAACTGCTTTCTCAGTCCAGAGTGACAAAGGAGATTTTTTATCCTCATTTCAGCCCATTCCTGTTTGGGGGTGTCTCTCAAGTCTTTCAGTACTGAGACAGGGTAAACTTTTTTAGATATCTGAAACCAGAGGGCCAACTAAGGCCAGATACTAACAAAGTGTCAGTAAGACACCAAATGCATTGTGGGGCAGAAAGAAAACCAGGAACATGGTCAGGGTCAGTCAAGAGGACAGCAGAGCAAGCAAAACAAGAGAGGCAACTGCGTGCTCAAGAATCCCTCAGGAAGTGCTGTTGCACTGGGCTGCCAATTTAGCAGCCTCAGAGCTCCAAATGGTGTTGGTGGAAGCACTCATTCTTAAGGACAGAGTCTCATTGTTGCAGCATTTTATAAGCAAGGGTAGATAAGTGTCCTTATTTAAAGTTTTACAGATGTCCTAAAATTTTACCGATTACAGAGACCATTTTGATGGACTAGGGGGTCTCGTGGGGTAGGTTTAGTGAATCAGTTATTTTAATCACATTACATTCTAAAACCTGAAAACATAATGAGAACTTTAATAGAGTTCATGAGATAAGTAAGTGGAAATTTTAATATAGTCCTGGAAGGAAGGATAATTTGAAAAAGGGTATAGCTAGTCTAGAAGCAAATGGTAGTGGATAAGCAGAATAAAGAGGAAGTGAGCTCTTGCAAGAAGTGGGGATACGGAGCAGAAGGAGAGGAAGGGGGTGAAAAAGGATTAAGGAAGAAGGAGACAAGAAAGTGAGGTGAAACAAAATCCCATGATAATATTACTTAGTCTAAGCAGGGCATTGATACTGATCATGCCTTTGTTTCAACCCATTAGTCAACAGACTTTTTCTTGAGCACCTACTGTGTTCCATGCACTATGATAAGTAGTAGATACAGAGTAGTGAACAAAACAGCCAAGGTTCCTACCATCATAGACCTTATAATTTGGTAAGCACAGTCCTAATGATGGTGATGCTGATGACCATAATAAAATACACAAGGGGGACCTTAAAAAACAAGAATTATCTTCTGGAGGGCAAGCCCTTTGTAATATAGGCCTCCCCTGCTGGGTGAGTGTTCTAGGCACCCATCTGTATCAGTGTATCAGCTGGTGATGTTGTGAGAGGGTGCATTCAGCTTCAGTGAATTTTTCTTAAAGACTCTTTAAGCAGTGTTTGCCCATTTCATGATGAATGATTTACAAGCGCACCTGCCCACACCAGTCTGAATGTTCAGCAGTTTTGGACCCAAAACAGTATGACCCCTCATGCCCCACCCTCCCTATTCACCCAATCTCGCCCCCAAACTACTCTCTTATTTCCTCGGATGCAAAAAGTCCCCAAAGAGAAACTTTCTTGTTTCCCTAGATGAAAAAGGTCTTCCAAGAGAAACATTTTGCACCTGTGGAATAGGTGAAACAAAATATGGCAGTAGCACTAAAA